CCACCCTACCCTAGATGTGCCCATCCCCACCCCCACCCTGTGACCTGTGGTTGCGGAGCCTGGAGACATGGCAGACCTGACTCTTGGTGTCTGGTTTGGGTCATCTTGTGGCCATTACACCTATGGCAGAGAGAGTGTGTGTGTGTGTGTGTGTGTGTGTGTGTGTGTGTGTGTGTGTGAGAGAGAGAGAGAGAGAGAGAGAGAGAGAGAAACTGAGACCCAGGGTCTAGCTAGAGTTTTCCTGCCTGGCCCACAGTCAGGACAAATCTCTATCACCTGCCAGTCCCACAGTCGCTCAGACCCGACCAAGTAAACACAGAGACTTATATTGGTTACAAACTGTATGGCCGTGGCAGGCTTCTTGCTAACTGTTCTTACAGCTTAAATTAATCCATCTCCATTAATCTATACCTTGTCACATGGCTCGTGGCTTACCAGCATCTTCACATGCTGTTTCTCATCGTGGCGGCTGGCAGTGTCTCTCTGACTCAGCCTTCCACTTCCCAGCTTTATTCTCCTCCTTGTCCCACCTACACTTCCTGCCTAGCCAATGGCCAATCAGTGTTTTAATTATTGACTAATCAGAAACACATTTGACATACAGGACATCCCACAGCACTTCCCCCTTTTTTTTTTCAAAAAGGAAGGTTTTAACCTTAACAAATTAAAATTACATATAATTTGGGAATTTGGGCGTAGCTTCTCTTACTACTTCCTGCTGGAGGGGGGCGCTGCAGCTTATGGGGATACAAAGAAAATTTTTGGATTATGGAATAGTCCATGAGGGTGTATCGTCTGAGCCAGTTGCCTTCAAACCATTCTGGAGGTTGGATCATCTGGGCCATGGTGTCATCGGAGACCTTTCAGGGGGTCTTGGCTGGTCAAACCTGATGTATCTTAATCTGGAACAAATCCATAGCCTCTGGCTTTCTGTGGAAACAAAAGCAGAGTCTCCTTTCCAAAGCAACATATCCTTATATTCAAATTTTGAAGTCAAGGTACCTTTAAAATATACATATTGGTTTAACTCAACATCTTTTATGATCAAATGTTTTTCTGTAGTTAAAAATCCCAAAGACAACACAATCCAGATTCTCTGTGTAATATCCATTTTTATGTGGCTTATTTTTTATACTACCTTTACTGTCTCTTTAAAGACTTTATTTTTTAAAACTATGTATTTGTTTCTATAACTCTATATATCATCTTTTTTGTCTCTTTCAAGCCTACGTATCTTTTACACACATTGTAAACTATTACATCTGAATCTGTCTTATTGTGAATCTATTGCCTTAAACTGCAGCAGCTGTGGTTGCTGGCTCCACCCACCTCAGCTTCCCAACATGGCTACATTTACCACCAGCTCTGGGAGCTATCGTGGGTCTATGCTTTCATCCAAGCAGCGTGTAGCCCAGAAACCTCTTTTTTTGTTTTGTTTTGTACTAGCAAAGGCTAAATCCACCAAGCAGCTTAATGTGCCACTTGCAGAGGCCTCATTCCCGCCATACGGCAGCAGGTCGAGCGTGCACGATAGGAACCCACCAGTAGCTCAAATCGGCAGCTGCCGCTCATTTGAGAGAGACAATTAGGAAGCTGTTTTTAGCTCCATTTTAGAATCTTTTTTCAGGTTTTTAGGTGGAAACTCTTGCCACCACGTTGGACGCCAATTCTAGCTAGAGTTTTCCTGCCTGGCCCACAGTCAGGACAAATCTCTATCACCTGCCAGTCCCACAGTCGCTCAGACCCGACCAAGTAAACACAGAGACTTATATTGGTTACAAACTGTATGGCCGTGGCAGGCTTCTTGCTAACTGTTCTTACAGCTTAAATTAATCCATCTCCATTAATCTATACCTTGTCACATGGCTCGTGGCTTACCGGCATCTTCACATGCTGTTTCTCATCGTGGCGGCTGGCAGTGTCTCTCTGACTCAGCCTTCCACTTCCCAGCTTTATTCTCCTCCTTGTCCCACCTACACTTCCTGCCTAGCCAATGGCCAATCAGTGTTTTAATTATTGACTAATCAGAAACACATTTGACATACAGGACATCCCACAGCACCCAGGGTAGGCCCAGTCACTTCAATATTGAGGGACAGGTACCCACTCTCTCCCTCTCTCCTTCCCTAGAGCAAGAAGGGTTCTGGTCCATTTCCTCTGCTTGGCCATCCCCTCCTCCCCTGTGGACAAGCCCACCCTAATCCTTAGCTGTTAGTTTGGGGTCTGAGTTGGGCTTGCCTGGCTGTGCTGTCTGGTAAGTTCCTCATCCCACTGACTTCTGGCCCAGGCAGCCCTACAATCCCAACCTGCAGGTTCCCAGGGGTTTGGGGCTACTATGTTCTTACCTCTTATCTCAGGCCCTACCTTCTCTGTCAATATTGACCTAGGTGAGGGAGCAGCTGTAGGCCCCGCCCCCCAGGTGCTGCCCCCAGGTGCTCGGCCTAGTCTCCCCCAGGCTGGTGAGTAATCCCCCTGCAGGGGAGGACATAGGCATGGGAAGAGTCACCTGGCTCTGCTCCTGCTGACAACTGGGAGTGCTTGGAGATACTCTGATTCTTGTCCCTTCCACTCTGACCCCTGGCCCAGCTCCTGGGTCCTCACATCTGGCTGCCAGGCAAGGATATGGAAGTGCCTCAGGCCCTAAGGCAGGTGTTAGCTGGGAGTCAAGTCCCGTGGGTGTTAGGGGAACCCTACGGTACTTGGGACAGATGGATCCCGGGCCCTGCAAATGTAAGCTGCCTCTCCGCTGCTTGGCTCATACTGGTGAGGGGAGTATGTCCGTCAGGACACAGCTGGGGGCAGAACACTGTCCTACCCTTGCTGCAGAAGAGTGGACAGCTGTGTTCTGCTCCTGGCAGGTGACCTGGGCTCCCATTCACTTGACCCAGCCAAGGTTTACAAAAAATTACTTACTTTATCTGTATGTGGGAATGCCTGCATATATGTCTGTGTATCATGTATGTGCCTGGTACCCACAGAGTCCAGAAGAGGACATTGGATCCCCTGGAACTGAAGTTACAGGTTGGGAACAACCTGATAAGGAGGCTGGGAACTGGTCCTACCTCCTCAAGAGCAACAGTGCTCTTAACTGCTGAGCCATCGCTCCAGACCCTCAACCAGGATTCTCCTCTAGCAATGCCATTGCTCTGGCCATGGAGAGGTTCCCGGCACCAATGAAGGGCTCTCGGTACTTTTCTAGGTTCCTTTCAAAGCAGTGAACATGTATGAAGCATTTTCCAAAGAAAGCTGTATGTCAACTCCCAAAGCCTTGCTCATGGAGGTTGCGCTGTGTGGGCACCAGGCCTGGCACAGTCTGGGGGCACATTTCCCAGTCCTCGGTAGCCAGTCGGCCGTTCCCAGCCCTGGCTGCACATTCGAATCACTGGGAGTGTCTGAAAGAAGGCTCCCATTCTGAGAGGTTTGAGTCAGAGTAGCCAGGGTGGCCTTGAGGAGTCTAGCCTTTTCCTTCTGTGCATGTATTGGTGTGATGAGCATGTTTGTGTTTTGTGTGCATCGGTGCGTGTGTACACATGCACGTTGGAGGCTGGAATGTTATCCTCAGGATGTTGTATGCCTCCTTTGGACAAGGTCTCTCATTGGCCTAGAGCTTACCAATTAGTGAGCCCCAGGTATCTTGGGCTCTGCTGCCCTAGGTCTGGGATTGTAAGGACATACCACCACACCCGGCGTTTATGTCCATTGTAGGGACTGAACTTAGGCACTCACTTTTGCTTTAAAGCTTGTATCCTAGGTGGGTGCTGGGGCTTCAGTGATTCAGCAAGATCTCCCGTCACCCACTGAGTTGTCACCCTTCAGGAACTGGTACCCTTTTTTTGTTTTGTTTTTGTTTTTCGAGACAGGGTTTCTCTGTGTACCTTTGGAGCCTGTCCTGGATCTCACTCTGTAGACCAGGCTGGCCTCGAACTCACAGAGATCTGCCTGGCTCTGCCTCCCAAGTGCTGGGATTAAAGGCGTGCACCACCACTGCCCGGCAGGAATTGGTATTTTTAAGGGCCTCCAGGTGATGTGTGGGGTGGGGAGGCAGTGGTGAGGAATGCACTCAACCTCAGGTGATTCTCAGCGTGGCCGTAGTTAGAGCTGTGCTGTGGGGTTTGGTTGGAAAGCTTAGGGGCCTGTATGCCTCTGTCTCACAACCTGAGGGTCCAGTCGGTTCTGGGATTAGCCTGCCTCACTAGTTAGAGGTTCTGGGCTTTGAGCATCCTGTTGATTTGTAGCTATCTCCAGCAAAGGGAAATTAACATGCCTGGATACTCCAGGGACCTTGCCAGCAGTCCACAGGCACTTCCTGTCCATAAGCTCACCGACTGCCAGCTAGCCTGCTATGTTCCCAGGCTGTCCCTTCCTACCTCTGCTCCCTCCCTCCCATTCTTGTCATAACTAGAAAAGCACAGGGCACATTTCAGGGAGCCCAAGTCCCAGTTAAGTGTCCTTCTGATGACTGTCTCCACTTGCCCAGGGCTGCTACAAGCCTGTGCGTATGTGAGGTATAAAATAGCAGAGGATATGAAAGTACAGAGTAGGAGCAGAGGGAAGCAGACAGGACGGGGGCAGACTAGAAGTCAGCACCAGGTTAACTCAAAGTGACTGTCCTCTGGCTGGGCAGTTCTGCTGTGAAGGGCAGGTACCCAGAACCTATGGTGGCGATGGGGTGTTTAGAGCTCTATCTCGATCCCAGGGGACTGGTCCCAGGACCCTCCCATGAATTCCAAAGACCATGAGGTAGCCTGCTGGTAGGGCTGGAGTCCTTATGGGAGGATGGAGTCACCCTGCCTGTCTCGGGAAAGAGGGTCAGGATGGTTTTCTAGCTTATGTTGGGGGGGGGGGCGGAGATCAAGAACTCTGGCACTGAGTCCTGCTGCCCTGCTCCTATCCACCCTGCTCTGTAGAAGTGGGAAGCAGCAGGGTATGGTGTGCAGGGGAAGGAAAAAAAAAATAAAACCCCGTAACAGGCCTGGAGAAGCAGGTCAACCACAAGACAGTGCAGTTTCACGAGTTTATTTCCGGCAGGAGGGAATTACTGATTGACAATACTTGCCCCCAGAATCGTGCACACTCCACATAAGCAGCGCTGGATCGTCACATTCAAATATCCAGCAGAAAACCGTAACTCCCCAGACACCGACACCACCGCTGGGGTATCCATCTTCAGGGCAGCTCGAGGGATGGACATGGTCAGATTTACAGTAGAGCAGGAGCAGAGGCAGCCAGCAAGTCTGTGCAGGGAACCCTCCGCTCTTCTCGAGCCCTGGCATGCCAGCTGTCCAGCACAGCACCATTAGAAGCAGAGGCACAAACGTCACGAGTGTTTGACCAAAAGGGCTGTGTGTTTCTGGATTTTATTAGGAAGCCATCGGTCAAAATACAGGGTTGTAGAACGCTGCCAGGCTATACACACTTACAGGTTTCATTTCGTACCCCAACTTCAAATGCTGTAACCATGACAAGTTAGTGTCATGTGGACATCCTCATGTCCCCAAAGTCATCTCATCAACATTGCACCGTGTCAAAGGAATCCCCACCAACTGCCATGGGTGACAGGCAGTGTTATTAGGATACAAATGCATTGTTTACAAACAGCTAGTGCATGAAACCACAGACCAACATGGAGGATTCCAGAACAAATGGAAGAGAGAGCACTAACATCATCAGGGGTCAGGGGCACCCAGGAAGCCCCCACTTGAGGTCATGCAAAAGGTGTAGGCTGGAGTTCACAATCCCAAGCCGTCCTGCCCCAGAACTTCATGTCAAAAGCACTTGTCTAGGAGAGGGGTCCTAACCTGGAGCTGAGAGGACCATGAACCCGGGAGGTCAGACGTTTCTTTTGGCTAAGGAGATGGAGTGTTTTGGTAATGTGGGAAAGATATGGCACACAGAAGTGGCTGGTAAGTTTTCAAGCCCACACTTTAATAAACTAACAATTAAAAGCAATACCCGTATTTACCTTAAGAAAATAAACCTCACACATTCATCTCCTTTCTTGGCCTTGTTAGAATTCTATTGCTTCATTTACAAGTAACTGATTAAAAAATATAGATTTTTTTCAATTATGTACATAAAGCAGATTTTTTTTTTTTAAAGAAAGAAAAATTGGCATTTCGGAGCTTGGTCCAATAAGGTGCGGATTTCAGAACCCTCAGAGGCCCTGCCGCCCACCAGAGACATTCCATGTTTGTGGTGGCAAGAACAGGGTTCGCCACCGGAAGCTGGGTCCTGAGTGCACACGCAGCTCCAGAATGCTAAGGCCAAGGCTGGCCTTGAACCTGTCTGAAGCACAGCACTGTTTCCAGGCTCGTTTCTCCTGAAATATTCTGGAATTTCAGTCCACTCTGCCCCCCTTTCCAAATAAGGCCCGTGAGACCAACAACACAGCAAGAGGCACAGGTGACGATCTGAGGTTCCTACCCAGGCCTTGTTCTGTGTGGAAATCAACCCACGGCAGACACCGTGACACTCAAGACACTTAAGGCAGCGGGATCGGTTAACGACTAGTTTCCATGAGGGTTTATGGCATGTGCGGATCTGCCACGGAACTGTTATCTGTGGTGATGCTTAGCAAGGGGGCAGTTTCTATTGTAATTGGCACAGGGATTACTGGGTTTGGAACACTCAGAAAGTCAGGAGATCTGATGACCCCTATGTATTTCTGTTCTGAATGCACAGTGGTTTCCCAGACCAAAGCACTGTGGGAAGATAGGCCAGGTAGCTGGCTTCATTATTTTGTAAAAGGAAAAAAAAATTTTTTTTTTGAAGTTTGACCCCTGATTTTGAGTCTTGTTAGTACCAGCAACTCCCAGCAGAAATCTGGCTGAGGCCCAACCCACAGAGGACTAAGGCAAGAGCGCCAACAGAAAGGGCTCTTTTCATTCCTCAGACGAGGGAGCAGCGCGACGCAGCACGGCTAAACACCAAACTGGGAACGACGGCCGGGCCGAGAGAGACCCCCGGGCTCCAGGGAGGAGCCCTTCTCCCATTTAGACAGGCTTCTCCAACCCTTGGCTCGAAGAGGCTGTGCTTCCCAAGAGGCTGAGATGGACTTGGGCCACGTCCGTTGGCAGCTGGTTGAGGCCACAGGTTCTCAAGCGAGACCGAAGAGCTCTACCGTGGGCTCTGATGTTGACTGCAGTGTGAGGCGGACGCCACACCTGAGCGGTGCTCTGGCCCTTGCTTTTGTTTTGTGTTGTTTTGAATCTTTGTGCCCTTGAGCATTATTGGTGGCCAGGGCCAAGGAAGGGAGATAGTTGGGGCCATGCTGGATGGGGCGGGACACCTGCTTCTGACCCTGTCCAAGTCTGCAGTTGAGCGGTGAGCGTATTCTGAGCATAGGCACAGTGGCAAAGAACAGTGTGACAGCCGCTGGTCAGTTCCATTTGGTGGCAGCACAGTAGCAGCAAAGTCCCAAACAGCTCCACGTGTACCCAGCCTTTGAAAGGAAAGACTTAACCATCCAAGGGTTTTGGGTTTTCTGTAACGATTCTCCTCAAACCAATAACAACAGAAAAACAGCAAGGGACAGATGTGACAGTCGTGGGAAAGCAGATGTGACGTACTGTCACTGTTCAAGGGGGAAATTCAAGACAAATTTTATCAACATCAGAGATCATGATAAAAGGAATCGGTTGTTTCATAAAGCATTGGGCCATTGGCAGGTACATTCCAGACTGGCCAGAAATGAGTGGGGGCAATGACAAGGCATGAAAAAAATCCTGTCCGAGGGAGCTGGAGCCCGAGAACGCCACAGGCGGTCAGCCGCAGCTGTTGGGAGGCAGGGGCCTGTGACCCGCTTTCTCCTGGCCATACCCTCACCCTGCCACACAGGCTACCAGGTTCTATAAAATGGTCCTGTTTGTTGTCTTAGAGTGTCTGAGACAGTAAAAGACTAAAAGATGTCTGGAAAGAGGTTGTATACAAAAATTAACTCTCAGCTTAAAATAACATTCAAAAAGGCACTTCATCCTGTAGGAAAGAGATTCTGAGTTGGGTCAGCTGCTCCAAACTTGGGCAAAGGGGACAGACTGTCTCTTGGGGGGGAGGACAGCTGAAAGGACATCTGGAAGATACCAAGGTTGTTTTTTTTTTCTTTTTTCTTTTTGGTATGTTTTAAGAAAATCGAATCTGGTAAAATGCATGTCCTTTTATGAAATCTATTAAAAGTGTTTTTTTTTTCTTTAAAATAGTTGTTTCTGTTCTTAAAAAAAAAACCAAAACAGGTAGGCATGGCGACATTCACCCTGTGGCCCAGAGCATGGAGTCTTCTCAGGCTCCCCTCAGGGAGCTGAGGTCAGGAGGGTCCCCTGAGCCAGGGCCTCCAGAGTGCACGGTGGGGACGGGCCGAGGCTGGGGCTACCTGCTGCACAGTCTGTGCAGCATGCTGTATACATCGTCCTCCCTGCTCAGGCCCTCGAAGAACGGGATGAGGTCCAGCAGCTCTGTGTCCGCCATGTCATCGAACCAGGACTGAACAGGCACCTGCAAGACAGTGTGTGTGGAGGAAGTGGAGCGGGACCCAGGGGGACACTGTCATCATCATCCTTCCTTCGCTCCCCAGTTAGTGCGAGAGCCGAAGCAGGCTGGCACAGGTGTGGGAGACGGCTCCGTAAGGCAGAGGGCCCCTGGTGTGTGTGAGTTTGCCCCCTTTAGCTTTCCTGCTGAAGAAAAGATGGACACTCCCTGCCCGTTTTCAAAGCTCTCTTTACGGCACTGAATTAGCTCACAGCCAGCCAGAGCCCCGGATGCCTCTCAGAGGGTACCCGTCAACCACAGAGCCCAATCCGGGCACGCCAGTCCGGACTCTACTTAGGGTCACTGCTCCAAGCTGTGTGTCAGAGAGAAGCAGAGGGTGCCTGCCCAGGCTTAGCAGTACCCAGGTAAGTGTGGAAATGCCGAATTTCAGGGCATCCGGAAACTCTGGCAAAGAGAAGGCTCCTTTTAGCTTTTGGTAGAGGAGAAGGGAGTGAGCGGCAGTAGTGGAGAGCAGTTAGGAGTTCACAGAAGAGAGTCAAAAAGAAATCTGGGGAAACCAAAAGGTATTTATTAATTTACGTACTTACTTGCAGTCCTGGGATTGAGCCCAGGGCCTCACTCATGCTAGTTAAGCGTTCCATCAACCGAACCATGTCAACAGCCCCACCTATGACATATTCTTGTTAGACAAGAAAAAAGAAGGGGCTGGAGAGATGGCTCCGCTATTAAGACAACTTGCTGCTCTTCCAAAGGACCCGAGTTTGGCTCCCAGCACCCACATGAGGTGACTCATGATCACCTCTACCTCCAGCTCCAGGAGATCCATTGTGCTCTTCTGGCTTCTGTGGGTACTGCAAGCGTGTAGCACACACACGTATAGATGTAAATAAAAATAAATTCTTTAAAAAATTAACATGAGGGGTTAGAGAGATGGTTTGGTGGCTAAGAGCACTGTGTACTGCTCTTGCTGAGGACCTGAGTTCAGTTCCCAGCACAGCACCCACATCAGGCAGCTCCAGGGGATCTGATGTCCTCTTCTGGCTTCCACAGGTACTATACTCAGGTGCATATTCTCACTCACACACAGTTAATTAAAATTAAAACTATTGAAAAAGAAAATTTTAAAGAAAGCCTGGATCCAATCAAATAGCAGACAGAAAGTCTACTTGCTCGCCTGAAGGAGGAAGGGGTGGCTAGAGGACATTAATCACTAATGACTAGACAAATCCAGGGTACAGAAAATTCCCATAAGACACATTAGTAAATTTTCCACGGATAAATGATAGAGAAGAAACAATGGGGAGGGAAGAAATGTTTAGAATGGAGACACATTAAATGAAGCAATGCATGGTCCATCCTTAGATCCTGACCTAAACAATTCAAATCCAAGACAACCCATCAAGATGACAAGGTGAACAGCGTGTACAGTACTAACACAGGAAATGGCTGTGCTGTGTGTGGAAGGCAGCTATGGCAGCAGGAGACACACTGTATCTTCGTGTGTACAGTACTAACACAGGAAATGGCAGTGCGGTGTGTGGAAGGCAGCTATGGCAGCAGGAGACACACTGTATCTTCGTGTGTACAGTACTAACACAGGAAATGGCGGTGCGGTGTGTGGAAGGCAGCTATGGCAGCAGGAGACACATGGCATCTGCTGGAGACAACTGCCAGGTGCATCACGTGGAATTTGATTGACTTATCAACAAGAACTTATTTACTTATTTAAAGGGTCTCATTATGTAGCCATGGCTAGCCTGAAGCTCTTTACGTGGGCTAGGCTGGCCTCGAACTCTCGGAGATCTTCTGCCTTCCGAGTGCTGGGATCAAAGGTGTGCACCACCACACCTGGCAACATGAACATATTTAACTGTAAGGCAGTTTGACTGTTTATTTTTACCTTTTAACTGAATGTAGTTTCCCCCTTATAATAAGTAGAGCTATAGAATTCTAGACTTAAAAAAGGGATGTATGGCCAAGTGGTGGTGGCACATGCCTTTAATCCCAGTACTGGGAGGCAGTGGCAGGAGGATCTCTGAGTTCAAGGCCAGCCTGGTCTACAGAGCAAGTTTCTGGACAGCCAGAGCTACACAGAGAAACCCTGTCTCGGGGAGGAGGCGGGCGGTAAAGGTTTATTCATGGGAAATCTGCATTGAAGGCTTGGGATGAGCCTTGGAAGCATGTGTCTTTCCCAGAGAATGATGCGGACGGGGCCTGGTGTGCTGACCCTGCAGCAGTCCCCAGTGGGCCTGGCTTTTCTTCCTGGAAGTGCCCAGCAAGTGGTGGAGGGCACCACTTTCCTGCTCTGTGAGCTGTGCTGCCCTGGTGGGCAGGTGCCAGAGCGGCTACACTCCAGGGGGCTGTACACAGGGAACCTATCTACATGGGCTTCTCAGACATCCCTCTGAGGTGGCAGGGCTGACAGTCTGATGGTAAGCCATTTCTAAAGAGCTTTATTCATTTTTATTGAAGATACACTTCTGTTGAGGGTCACCTCCTGAGTCTGAGAGGTCAGAAAGCTTAGGGCAGCACCAGTTCCATGAAGCTAGTGGCAGAGAGAAAGAGCCCTCTCCATTACAATACTCAGTGCTAAGGAGGCAGCATGCCGAGCACTCGCCAGGTCTAAGCACTGTTCTGAGCACTTTTGACCTATCACCACACTGAGTCCTCAACCATCCCAGGAGGCAGTGTCCGCCAGTCTCACTTGCAGATGAGAAAGGAGGCTAAAGATGAAGCCAATGTCATGCCATTATTAAGTGGCTGAGTCAAGATCTGGGGAAAAAAAAAAGTGCCAGGTGGTGGTGCACGCCTTTAATCCCAGCACTCGGGAGACAGAGGCAGGCAGATCTCTGTGAGTTCAAGGCTAGCCTGGTCTACAGAGTGAGTTCCAGGACAGCCAGGGCTATACGGAGAAACCTTGTCTCAAAACACAAAAAACCAAAAAAATCCCAGAGCTCCCCTTGTGCAGGTGTTCAGAAGTGGAGCCCGTGTGGCAGGATCTAGAGTAAGACAGCGCCTCAAGCCCCTCTGGGACTACTTACTGCATTCTCTGGATGGAAGATGTAGGAGGCAGGAGAATTGTCCACGATGATCACTTTGCTCAGCTCCCGTCCCAGGCGACTCAGGTCCTTCACGTAGTTCCCACGATGGAAAACACAGGATTCTCTGAAGAGTCGGGCCCGGAACACGCCCCAGCGGTCCAGGAGGTCAGCCACAGGGTCTGCGTACTGGAAAGAAGAGTCTCAATAAGGCCAAACAATGGGAAGAGCCAGAAATTCACCCAGGACACCAAGACACACTGTCCCTTTTTGGGGGGTGGGGTGGGCAGGAGGGTGAGATATGTTCTCACTTAGCAGCCCAGGATGGGGTTCTCCTGTGCCACAGTTTCCTGTGTGCTGAGATCACAGGCATGAGTCATGACATCAGGCTCTGACTTTTTGTTTTGGTGTATTTTATTAGATTTGGAAAGAAAAACCCCAGGTCTGGCAAGCTGTAACTTTTGGCAGTTGTCCAGAGGAGACTGGAGAAAATAAGGTTTTTTTTTAAAAAAAAAAGCTACATGAAGGCAGGCAAGGGTGGGTGGGAGGAGCTTTAGAGAGAAGAAAGGCAGCCAGAAGTGTTAGGGAAGGAGGAAGCAGGAAGGAAAGGCCTGCTCTTCTAAGGAATTCAGGAAAGTGAACAGAGTTATGAAGATGCAGATCTGTGGCCCTGTAAGAAACTGCCTAGCATTACTCCTTGTTTTGGTGTGTGTGCGTGTACACGTGTGCATGGACACACTGACCCCTTGTTTTGGTGTGGGTGGGTGTACATGTGTGCACGGACACACTGAAGTCACTGTAGGGTGTCTTTCTCTATTGTTCTCCACCTTATTTTTGAGTCAGGGTCTCTCCCTGGACCCTGCAGCTCTCATTTCAGCCAGACCAGCTGCCAGGCTGCAGTGAGCCCCGGGACCTGTCTCTGCCCCTCCAGTGCTGGACCCGCAGGGGCACACTGGCTGCCACACTGGGTTCTACGCGAGTTCCAGCGATGTCACCTTCCCAGTTTCTCAGACTTACTTTGTATTTGTTTACTTAAAATTTTTTATTGTTGTTGTGTATGTGCACAAGGGCACCATGACGTGCACGTGGGGTCAGAGGCCAACTTTATGGAACTGTTTTTCCCTTCTACTGAACTCAGATCGCCTGACTTGCATGGCAGGTCCCCTGACCCCCTGAGCCATCTCATCTGCCGCTTACACCACTTGTAGGACTGAATAGTTGAAGTACTTTAGACTGTGGTATTTTCCTCTCCACGTATAACAGAAAACACCACATTCTTACAGTTCTCGCCCATCGAATCCATCAGCAGTTCCTGTCAGTTTCGACTCCAAAAATATCTTGACTCCCTCCCACCTTCATTTCTTTAGTTCTAATCATCTTTCTGGACCAGGTCTCCCGGCCGGGGAGGTTCCTAGTCCTGCAGGCCCTCCCCTCCCAGCCTTCACCTCACTGTTGTCAGAGTGGCCACTGGAGGGCATCCAGTCCATCCTGTCCCTGCCCTGCTTAAAACTCCCACTGTTTCCCCACTGTCTCTGGAGCAAGCACATGGCATACAGCACATCTTATCATCCCTGCCTTGTCCTGCAAGCCTGAGGCCTGGACTCAGCAGCGAGGCCAAAGTGAGGCCCACAGCTGGGAATCCCACAGCCGGGAATCCCCAGGGAACAAACACCTGAGACTGAGTCATAAAGGCCACGGTAGATGCACGGCAGCTGGGCCCGTGGGAAAGTCCATTTCACTCCAAGGACACCCTGCGGGAGGCGGGGCCCAGGGCAGCTGCATCTCCTACTGACCACGCAGCTCAGAGCACTATTTGGGTGAAGCTGGCTAAGGGGAATGTGAGCAGTCTATAAAGGGTTGACCTGGATGGAAAACGATGGTTCGTGTTCTCTTCATTGCTACCACCATCCTTTCCATTTTTTTTTTTAAAGATTGATTTGTTTTTATTTTATGTGTATGAGTGTTTTGCTTGCATAGATGTAGGGCACCATGTGTGTGAGTGTCTACAGAGGTCAGGAGAGGGCATTGGATCCCCTGGAACTGCTGTTAGGGACAGTTGAGAGCTTTCATGTAGGTGCTGGGAACTGAACCTGGGTCCTTTGCAAGAGCAGCCAGTACTCAGCCGTCTCTCCAGTCCTGTTAATCATCTTTTAGGGAAGTGTCTGGGGGCTCCAGGCTTGCAAGATCAGGATGAAGCCTACAGGCAGCCCACACGCATGGGCTCATCTCTTCTCTTCTGTATCCTTGGTGCCCTACCACGCACGCACGCACAAAGGGAGACTGAACGAAAGGGTATGTGACAGAACAGCAGACACCACGGAGTCTGGGAGTCAGCGGGTGGTACCTGCAGGCCCTGGCAGGAGGCAGGGAGACCCACTATATAAATGCTGCAGGCTGAGTGCTGAGCTAAACTCATCACCGAGAGCTAGAACGCTGACCACCCACCAGTTCAACTCGGCCATTGGGGTTGAAAGGCTACAAGGCTGTCCTGGGAGCTGGGTTTGGCTCTGCAGGGCACGAATAACACTGAAGCAGGGCTAGAGAAACAGATGGTAGGGCAGGAGGGAGCAGCCCAGGAAGAGCAGCCCAAACACGGATGTTTAGGCGAACACTGGGGACAATGCCAAGGAAGAGTGTTTTTCAGTCTCGCCAAGGAAAAACAAGCCTCAGTCCAGCGCGCTGGTGCAATCCTCGAGCTTGCTATTTGGCTGGTTATTACTTCAGGTTCTTTAGCATCCCGGAGCAGCATCAGAAGCACCACTGAAGCTGCTCACACAATTAGTCCTGGTGCCACTGGGGAAGACTATTTCCTCGAGGCTGTGCTCCGTCTTGTACAAGAGAACAAAGCCCAGGTGCAGGCTCTCTCCTTAGCAGCTCACGTTGGGGCCAGCCGATGAGGCTGGCGGAGCGCTATATAGGCGGCCCTTGCCTTGGTCAGCACAGCCAGTGGAGCAGTGTGGAGAACCTGGAGTCCAAGGTTCAATACGTAGAGGGAGGAGGGTGCTGCTTGAGGCAGGCCACGAAGGAGGAAGCTGCTGGTGGCCCCCGGAGGAGTTCTGCACACAAAGGGTTAACCTGCACACCACAGAACTCATCTTTGGGGCTACTCAGAGTTTCCGAGGTGCTCACGGAGACATTGGTGGTGCTACCAAGTGGACTGCATGACTCTGTGAGAACCGTGGTGGGCAGACCTGGGCGGGGGAGCTAGGGCCTGTTCTGCCTGCCCTCAGTACAGCATGGTACCTATGAGCCCGTTTGGATGCTATTACCACCACCAATACTTACGGTACTTATACTGAACACCAGGAATGCTCACCCTGTGACGGTGCCCGGAGCGGGGGCCCAGAAGGTGGTGAGGGCTCAGCGAATGTCTGCCTAATAGGATGCGGGAGCTGTGCTGAGCCATTCACAGGGGCCATTTCATTTAATCCTCTCCATCAAGCAGACGGAATTAGCTCCAATTAGACCGGAGGAAACCGAGGTGCCAGAAGTAAAGGGACTCACCAGAAACCACACAGCTCCCCAAGCCAGCCAGAACTTCATCAGCCTGTGCCTCTAAGTGACACTTCATACCTGTCTCTATTCGTTCCTCCCCAAAACCTGTGGCCACTAAACCCAAGGACACAGAGACCTCTAACATCTGGCTGCCAGTCAACAGAAGAGGGACGCCCCACCACGCCCGTGTTGTGCAGCCATCCTTCCGCAGTCACAGTGGACAGGTCTCGTGATCTCATCTGTGGATAACTGGTTTCAGGTGGCTGCATACAGCAACTGCATGGAGCATTTGTTCTAAATGCTCCCCGTCACCATGGTAACCAGAAGCCTTTCAGCCTGGCAGTGTGCACATGGCCTGCATCCATCCCATCTGGGGTGGGAACCTGTCACCGTAAAAATAGCTTCCTCCACCTTAACAAAAGGCTCTTGGCAGCTTGGGGGGTGGTGGAGGGTGGAGGGGTTGGGACGTCGGCTGGGAGTCTGCAGCAGGGAGCAGGACGCACCTTAGCCAAACTGGCAGTAAAAAGTACACACTCAAAGAGCTGCCCCATCCTCTGGAGGAACTCGTCCACATGTGGGCGCTTCAGCACATACACCTGCAAGGGGAGGAGACAACAGGCCATCAGTCACGCAGCAGCCAGAGCCGGCCCGGGCCTCGGAAGAGCTGCCTGCCGCAAGAGGCCCTCCTCCTGGGGCCAGGCCTATGCACGGTGTGCTGAGGTTCGGACTGGAGAGCCGGATGCAGGTTCCAGGTGTAGACAACCCTCACAGAGAGAAAGGGAAGCTGACCATGGTGTCAAGGGTCTTAGGGATCCTCAGAGCTAGCAAGTGGAGCACAGCTGTGCCATGTTCGGGGGAAGCCACTCATTCACCCCATGTGGCTTTTGGGACCCACTGTGAGTCAGTCCCTGTGTGGACACAGACCACAGCCTAGGTGCTGTCCTTCTGGAAGCCTAGAACTGGCTGCTGCCTTCTACTCTGAACGTCCCCATCTCCCACCGCATGGGAAGGCCTGGGTTAGCACGCTTGAAAACCTTCCACTCAACATCGTGGAGGTTACTCTGCTGATGTGGGAACACAGAAAGTCATTTAGAGTGTCAAGGGGTGTCTCTCTGATACAGTTGGGCCCTGTGCACCCTTTCGGTCAGCGCAGAAAGGACTACAAAGCCGCGTGGCTTCAGCTACCACACAGGCTCCTGTTTCTGGAGGTTAAATGAATCTGAGGGAACTGGGAGATGAGAGAAAAGGCAAAGCCAGGGAGAAGAAGTGGGAAGGGAGAGGAACCAATTAAAACTTGAGAAAATTCCTCGGCAGTTAGCTACCTCTTTAAGATGCAACATATTTACCAGGCCACAGCACTGTGCTGAGTACAGCTTCAAGGCTGAATGGGATGCAGGCCTGCCCCTGCCAGGCTCACAGCCTTGAGCAGACACTTACAGAAATTAGTGAATACAACAAAACTCACCCCAGGGGGCGGGGTACATTAAAGACAATTCATTCTCCTTTCCAGAGAAGGGAGTCACAGAAAGTAACAGCTGGCCTTGACCTTGAAGGATGAATAGGAGCTCACATGCTAAGGAACAGAATCAAGCTTCCTGGGCTGAGCAAAGCGTGAACATGAGATCTGGACGCTTGGTCACACGTGTGGTGTTGGGCTAAAGCCTGCGTGTGCCCAGTCAATCAGAGGCAGTGAGAGAAGACTGGGAGGCCGTTCAGGGGAAGCAGCTGCAGGTGGAGAGTTGAGTGTCAGTGGGAACACAGGGCCTCTCACAGCAGACAGAGGAGAGAGAGGCTGCAGGGGGTCGGGCACAAGGCTCTGCACCACACGGAAGAGCACACTGCAGGTGACGAAAGTCCCGTGTGGAAACAACTGCTTTGCAGTGTGCCAGAAAAAGGTGCTTTGCAGGTCAACGACTTGGTAGGAAACCGCCTGGCTAACTGAAAGAGTGGGTCTGTGACCTGGAGGAAGGGGCCAGAGGATGGGTACTAGACTGGGTACCAATAGGACCCTGCTGAGCTGGGGTGATGGGCTAGGGCCGAGGATAGAGCTGTGGCGGCAGTAGCCGAAGGATCCCCATTGCTCACAATACTCCTTGGTGACGGTGCCAGTGACTGGGTGTGGCCTCCGGTCCCGTGTCCCTGGGAGGACTGCTCGGACAGCAAGCTTGGCTACATGCAAAGGGCTGGAGACTGACAGGGAACTCTGACGTTGGCGCCTTTGGCAGAAAGGAGGGTCCTGGGCCCGGATGCCGGCGTCCAGGCCCGCGTCCCCGTGCAAGTAACCAAGAATAGGCCCCTTGGGACCTGCACAGCCTATCCTGGATTACTTGAACGAGGCCACGGCCTTCGCCAGGGCCTTGGTCCTCTTGCTTTGCACCTGTGGTTTCCTCCCCTTAGGAGTTTCTGATTCCAGCCCTGGGGCCCCGGGGTGTCTACTGCCAAAGAGAAGGGGCTGGGGGAGCCGCGCCTGCTCGCGGTCACCACAGGATTATTATTTTTTCCTCTCCATGCCACTGGACAGCCCTCCTGTGCCTCATCTCAAGATCTCTGAAACTCCAGCTACAGTACTCAGCGTAGAAGTCCGAGCTGCTTGTCGGGTGCCAAGTTAATCAGCGGATATTTTGTGAATGTTAAATGCCCAGGTCCCTACAGTTTTCGCTTTACAAAGGCTTTTAAAAACCATGAGATGAGGAAACACCACACTTCCCAGGTCCTGCTTCCTGCAAAGCTAGGTGGGGTCGCAGGGAGCTGTGTCTAGGGAAAAGAGCCCTGGCTTGGGAGTCAGGATTCTCATTTTGATACTTTTCATATACATTCTTGAGCCAACCCTTTTCCTAAGTAAGTCTCAGTTCCCCTATCTGGGCAATGAGCTGACGTCACAGGCCTGGGCACTCTTCATTCAAGAGTCAGGGAGCAGGGATGGAGGGGTGGTTCAGTGTTTAAGAGCACTGGCTGCTCTTCCAGAGGTCCTGAGTTCAATTCTCAGCAACCACAGGATTCACAACCATCTGTAAAGAGATCTCGTGCCCTCCCTCTTCGGGTGTGCAGGCAGACATAATAAAACAAAGAAAAAACAAACAACAAAAGCAAAACCACGGAAGAAGATTCATGCCAGCTGACTGCTGATCGTAACACACCCTTCCTCCTTTGCTTTGGGGTGTCAGTGGAGAAAACCACATGGGACAAGATCAGTCTGGGGCCACTGTCATCAAAGTGGACACCTCTCCCCAAGAGTGCCCCATCCTATTGCATGGGAGAGTAGCCCAGAGCAATCATACGAGGACATTAACCAGAGGGCGAGCGAGCGAGCCTGTGGTGGTGGTCGGGGAAGGACAGTATAGAAACTCCCAAAAGTCTAAATCAGATCAAAGAACAATCACAGCTAACATTTATGAACAGAAAAGTTCCCTCACAAACCTGGAGTAGAACAAATGAGTGTGAGGTAGAAATTCATTCACTGTACGCATTTAATTACTTTTGTTTTTTTTGAGATAAGGTTTCTCTGTGTAGTTCTGGCTATCCTGGAACTCGCTCTGTAGACCAGGCTGGCCTCGAATTCAAGAGATCCGTCTGCCTCTGTCCCCACTCTCAGCTCACTGTATTTATTATACAAAGTTTGTTTCCTGTGGCTGGAATAAAATTACCACTGAGATGAGAATTTAGAAATGACATTGGCAGGGAATGTGGTTACGAGAAGAAAATGCTTGCTAAAACTCCAGGTTAGCTTCAGTTTCTTACCTGGTGTATAGTTCCATCGATTTCAACCGGAACAATGAAATCAGCATTACTAATGGGCTAGAGAGAAAAGAAACTGTGATTAATACCCCTGAAAGGGAAAAGAAAATTGGAACTTTTAGCAAGAAAAAAGCTTGCCTGGACCAATATTTTGATAACTGGGGTGTAAACAGTTCAGGAGGGTGTTGGCACATGCCTTGGGTCCTTGAAATAACACAAGCAGGAAGGCACATTTCTTTCTGAGTGTTGTGGCATTTCAGCATCCTGGTCCAACTTCTTGGTTACTTGCCTGCCTCAACTACAAAGGGTAGTACCCCCTGGCAAGAGAATGAGGCTCCTCAGAGACTCTAGCCCTTGCCCCGGCGCCCAGACAGGATGAGGGGAACCCTAATGGCCACCAGGGGGCAGAGATGAAAGCCCGCTAGCCAGTGTCATTACCACTGGAAAAGCAATTTGTCCTTGGACTCACAGTGTGGGCAGCTTGGCAGGGAACGCTCAGAGCACTCACCCACAGCAGGCGGAAAGTCAGACACCACAGGCCAGGACCCTAGGCGGACTTTCCCTCTGGACTCAGTGTCTGCTTTCTTCAAACTGCTATGGTGGTAGGTCTGATGGGTCCCCATGGCTCCATCAGCAGCCTCAGGCCCTGCCTGGTGGCTCCATCAGCAGCCTCAGGCCCTGCCTGGTGGCTCCATCAGCAGCCTCAGGCCCTGCCTGGTGGCTCCATCAGCAGCCTCAGGCCCTGCCTGGTGGCTCCATCAGCAGCCTCAGGCCCTGCCTGGTGACCTGGCCTGGCTTCTTGCTCTGGGATTGGAAGGCAGCCAGTCTCTCAACTGTTCTGTTCTAAGAAACACAAAACCCAGCTAACCCACAACTTCACAGGCATTTAACGTAACTCTTGGATAGTATTAGACACATTTGAAAAATGAAATGTGACTTTCGCAGTTATCATATCTCAATGACAGACTCATATGCAGTTCTAAACAGAATCCCACAAATTAGAAAAATTAAGGAACAGGTCCAAAAATTAAGGAACAGGCAGTCTGAAGATCCTAGGGGCGAGAGACTCAGAGGAAGACAGAGGTGCATGGTGGCCACTGGGTAGAGAGAGAGTGTGGAACCTGTGCTGAGACTGTAAAATGGGTCTGCTTTTAAGTTTATCGGTACACCAAACTTGACATAAACTGAAGAATGTGGAGTGTGCTAGACCATCACCCCATTACTAGGTGGAGCATGCTAGACCATCACCCCACCACTTTGTGGAGTGTGCTAGACCATCACTATGTGGAGTGTGCTAGACCTTCGCCCCACTACTAAGCGCTTGCTCAGATGTGGGGGTGCTGCTGAGGTTTAAGACCATAGTTTATCTGTTTCCAGGGTAGAAAAGCAAGGGATGAACTCAAAATTTCATAATTTTACCACTGAAATATCAAGTTATGAAAAACAGAAAAACGACTGAAGAAGAAACTGTCACAGGCTTTGGATTATGAAATCACACTCCACACGGTGAAGTAAGAGGAGAATCAGCTCCAGCTGTCAAGCGTGGTCCCTGAGCTCTCATGTGCTGGGGCGATGCAGGTCATGCTGAAGCTAGCTAGTGCTTTCCATATGGAGTTCGGGAGCTCGTGTGAACACAGCACTCACTTTCCCAAGACTCTGGAATGCCCAGAACACTAGAGACCATAATCCAAATTGGAAAAGCAGCCCAGTCTGAGCCTGTGAGATGGTGTGGCTCCGAGACACGGTTGGTGCTGCCGAGGCCTGATGATAGGAGTTTGATCCCACAAACCCAGTGTAAGGACCTGACCCCTCAAAGCTGTACTCTGACCTACATACACACACACACTCGACACAAACATAGGTAAGAAATGAGGAAATTTTACAGCTTGTGGCAGCTGTGCCCTCTGAGCAGGGTCCAGAGACACCGGGGTTCCAAGGCCCTGCCTCGGAGCCAGGAACCCTTGGTAATCTTGGGCAATTTTTCCAGAGCTCCTTGGGAGGAAGCTCTCTATGCTATGACAGCGGCTGACCCCCGCTCTGAAGGGGTTGAAGTCCTGAGCCGCTTGCTTCACAGAAAGGGAAATGTTGCAATGCCATTTAGAGCCGAGCTTGGATACACAAGGCCAATGTGGCCCCGGGACTAATCCTGGAAGAGCCCCCAGCCCTTGGAAGTCTGGGTAATGAGGTGTTCCTACAAGCCTCAGCAGCTAGAATGAGGCCTCTTTTCACTAGGTCATCCACCTCCCAAAGCCTTTAGAGACAGCCTCCTGGCCTTGTCCTCCTTGCTCAGTGAGAAGGCACGGTGTACAACGTTGTTTCCAGCAGAAGGTGTGAGGTAAAGCTGATGGTTCTTCCTGCCCGATGGCCTGCCGGGAATGACAGGGGTTCAGGTGAGACACCCAGTCCACCACGGGGTGAAGCAAGAGGCGTCCCAGGGCAGGGGGGAAATGAGGGATGTGGCGACACTGGGCAGGGTAGAGCCGTTTCACCGACAGGAATGGTCCATGGAGACGAGCATCAGGCTCTTAGAAACACCCACTGATCTCCCCAGCACACCAATCACATGTTCCAAATGTCAGCATTTGCCTCTTTTGCACGATTTCTTCTCCTTCGAGGAGGGCTGAATTAACTCACTGTCTTAATAATGTAGCCACTGCTGCTCCAGTGTAGGGGTCCTCTGTTCTTTGAACTATTTGTGGTGGTGAGATGGAGTGGGGAAAGTGGTCAGGAAGCCTCTGACATTCACTTAGACGTAGCCTAGCTGCAGCTCACCACCCTGAGAGGGCTGTGAAGGTGGTACTCAGCTATGATGGGCACAAGAAACCTCAGCATCAAAATGATCAGAATGAATGGCCCGGCCCATTGGGATAAGGCTTCCTGAGAGTTCATTCAAACATTAATCTGGGAACATCACCAGGACAGCAGGCCACCCGACAGCTTTCAGCAACATCCCACCCCATGTCCCACCCAACAAAAGGCACAGCACTCGTTACCTCAAAAACATCCCATCCTTGGGCACTGACTGCCCGTACCACCTGAACCTAAAAGCATTTCTACAGGGCTTAGAGCAGGGAAGCCCAGATCTCAAGGAAGTACTCAGTGATGCTGGCAGCCCAGCAATTTCTTCCCCAAACCAATGTGCTAATATTCACCTCTCATAGCTCCTGCTCACTGGGGCTAAAGGATAGGTTCAACCCAAACCCTGAGTTCTTGGGATTTCTTCATGAGAAGTGAAGTCACACACACACACACAACCACACTCTCACCTTTTCTCACGGTGGTCACGAAGTCACAAAGACCCCCCATGAGATCCTGAATGTGGCATTTACCTTGAATGAGCTGTGCACCAGGGTTTCATCCAGGTCGATGACCACACACTTCTTCCCGTGGTCGAGCACAGTCACCTCCGGAAGGAGGTATTTAGCTGGCGGCTAAAGGAAGAAAAAAATCAGTGTTATAAACTCGGTGTAAGAGTCCAACTCCCCCTCCCCCTCTGCCACAGCAGAGACTACACTAATGAGGGTGTAAATGAAAGCAAACATTTAAAGGCCCGGTCAAGCCTATCATGTCACGTTACTAAAAGCAGTAACAACAAGGATTCTGCATTGGAGATTCTGCCCCACTGAAACTGTCTTTCTGTGACTGACTGAAGTGAGGGCCTGGGCTCTGCATCAAGCCTGGGTTTCAATATCACCTCAGACACTTTTTGTTAGTAGTTGAGGTGATTATACCTCCATGTAAAATAGATGTTTATCAGTTGTACCAACAGCAAACCACCCAACAGTCTTCCTGGCATGCACAGGGTGGCCATTATTATTATTAAAATGGATTATATAAGAATGAATGTTTACATGTAGTAACTATTCTGATTTCACAGGCCTATTTCCTGGCGTCTTTTTTTCCCTAAAATTCACTGTAACAAGTCAGGAAACTTTGGAGCTATGTTAGACCCATGAAATTTTTATTTATGTGTATGCATGTGCGCCTGCTTGTCTGTATGTGCACTTTGTGCATGCAGTGCCTGTAGAGGCCAGAAGAGGGCGTCAGATCCCTGGAACTGCAGTTACAGGTGGTGGTTGTGAACCACCATGTGGGTGCTGGAAGCAGAACCCAGGTCCTCTGCAAGGGCCACACAAAGTCTTAATTGCTGAGCAGTTTCTTCAGCCCCATGCCCGGCATTCTTAAACACTTGAAAAGAGATGTTGTAGACTGGCCAACAACTTGTCCTTCAAGTATTAAAACTGAAACTGGTGGGCACAGCTCCTGCACTGTTGTGGTGTGAAACTGATGGCTGAGGCATCTGTACCTCTTATCTCAAGTTAGACTTTAATCCATGTGCTGTGTTAACTAAAAAAATCTGTGCTCAAAGCAGCTGACTCCTCTCCTGTGATGGGGTCATAAGGAGCTAATAATACACGGCTTTATAATTTCAGCCAGCCTGCTCTGTTCCGAGTATTGACTTCTTTGGGCCTTGCCTCATTCCAGAGATAATGTGAAGTATTTTAATTGACTGTGGTATGTTCAGTAGCTAATGTTAACTAGTTAATTTTTCCCTGCAAACTGTTTAATATTTGATGCAAAACAAAACATAATTAAATATCTAGACTCAGCCATGGAAGAATGAGCAGTAGAGTTTTTCAAGCAAGACAAGCAGGCCTGAAATCAGAATTTCTTTAAAGTGGCTGGTTCCTTTCACTTTTGAACATTCGCTGATGGAAGAAAATAATATTCTTTAGCTGGGCTGGATGGTGCGTACCTGTGGTCCCAGGAGGACTACTCAGGAGGCCAAGGCAGGAGGATGAACGAGACTTATCTAGGCTACAGAGTGAGCTTAGGGGCTTGTATGGCCAACTTAGTGAGACCCTGGCTCAAAAAGTAGGGCTAGGATCCGGCTCAGTGGAAGAACACCGGCACGTGTGATCTGGCTCAGTGGAAGAACACTGGCGTGTGTGATCTGGCTCAGTGGTAGAACACTGGCATGTGTGATCTGGCTCAGTGGAAGAACGCCCGCATGTGTGATCTGGCTCAGTGGAAGAACGCTGGCGTGTGTGATCTGGCTCAGTGGAAGAACGCCCGCATGTGTGATCTGGCTCAGTGGAAGAACACTGGCATGTGTGATCCATCTCAGTGGAAGAACGCCCGCATGTGTGATCTGGCTCAGTGGTAGAATGCCGGCATGTGTGATCTGGCTCAGTGGAAGAACACTGGCGTGTGTGATCTGGCTCAGTTGTAGAACACTGGCTTGTGTGATCTGGCTCAGTGGAAGAACACTGGTATGTGTGATCTGGCTCAGTGGAAGAACACTGGCATGTGTGATCTGGCTCAGTGGTAGAACACTGGCATGTGTGATCCATCTCAGTGGTAGAACACTGGCATGTGTGATCTGGCTCAGTGGAAGAACACTGGTGTGTGTGATCTGGTTCAGTGGTAGAATGCTGGCATGTGTGAGGTATTGCAGTTAGTTCCAGGGCTGAAAATGAAATTAAAATGGAACTTTAGCTAGCCCAACGGTAAATGTAAACCACAGGGCAGGTTAGCTAAAGAGGCAGGTACCATGATACACGGCACAGGGGCTGAGCAAAGAGGTGACGTGGGGCCAGAAGCCGTCCTGACCCCAGGGTGCTCTCTGCACCGATGTCTTTTTCTAAACACAGAGAAGAAAAACCCTAGAGGTCTAACTTCCACCGCTCTAACTAAAGCTGACTTCCAGTCCTCCATGGCCTCCCGGCATCAGCAGGGGAGGTGGGACATGCCCTGGCCACTGACATGGAATTCAGGGACTGAGAGGGACTGTTTCCATCATTATAAACGACTGAGTCAGCAGGTTATTTAAAAAAAAAAAGATAACTAAACTCACAAGAAGTTTTGTACAAAAACATGTTTTTAAAAAGGCAGGGTTGATGCCGGGCGGTGGTGGCGCACGCCTTTAATCCCAGCACTCGGGAGGCAGAGCCAGGCGGATCTCTGTGAGTTCGAGGCCAGCCTGGACTACCAAGTGAGTTCCAGGAAAGGCGCAAAGCTACACAGAGAAACCCTGTCTCGAAAAACCAAAAAAAAAAAAAAAAAAAAAAAAAAAAAAAAAAAAAAAAAAAAAAAAAAAAAAAAAAATAAAAAGGCAGGGTTGAACATAACCAAGATAGGGAATTCTTTCTTTGGGCCACAGCAGAAGGTATGCACATGACCACGGTAAACTTTGTTTGGATTTTATCACACAGTTATATGAAAGTTACAGTCTCCCTGTGAAGAATGTGAACAGGTAAGAACTTTTCCTATCTCCCCTACCCCAGGGTTAGCCTGCTCCCCTCCATCCTTCCCTTTGTTTTATGCACTACTAAAGCAATGTTTATAACTTAAGTCATTGAAATTGCTGGCCTGGAAAACAAGGCTCTAGCAATTCTCACAGATCTGAGAACATCCAAGACTTGCCAAAAGCGGCTCCGTGACGTTCCAAGACTAAAGATTACCTTCTCAGCATATGTATCCACACTTTACCAGCATTCTCTGCGTTAACAGTAATTAAAAAACAGATATCCCTGACCAAATGATGCAGGTGAGATCAGGTGGGGTGAGACTCCCAAGCAAGTCATTGATTTGACAGACAGGAAGGCCAGGCTGCAGGAAGATGGAGGGAGGGAGGGCCCCATCAATCCCTAGCCCTTCACACAGCTTCCCTGGGAGCCTCCTTTGGAGGAATGCAAATTCCTCAGTCCACTGCTAAGACCTCTGGACAGCTGTGCTCTTGGCAATCCCAGGACACTGTAAAGCTGCCATAGTGCTTTGTGACTTAGCTTGACTCATTCACTCGAAGATTTAACCAAATCTTTGAGGTCATCATAAGGCTTAAGAACAGGAAAAACAGCCATTATATATTTACTGCAGAGCTGTAAGCTGACCTGGGCAGCATCCATGCTAGGTAAGCACTCTAGCCCTGAGCCACATACACGCTCTTTTTACTTTGAAAATGTGAGACAAGGTCTTACTAAGGTACCCAGGCTGGCCTTGAACTCACTCTACCTCAGCCTCCTGAATAGCAGGAATTAGAAGCCTGTACTATCAGGCTAGTCATTAAAAAACAACTTTTAATTATTATTATTGTGTGTGGGCACCTGGATGCCATGCATGTGTGTGAAAACCGGAGGGCAACTCTGGAATCTGTCATCTTCTTCCACCTGTATGTGGGTTCTAGGGGTGATCTCGGGTTGCCAGGCTCATTTGGCAAACACCTTTACCCACCAAGTCATCTTGCTGGCCATCTGGTCTGGAACTCTCAATCCTCCTGGGGGTGGGATTACAAGCATGGGCCACTGAGTATAATAAGAACGGCCTTTTCTATACAAAGTCACACAAATGCGCGCACGGGACTTGTGGGGTGGGGCAGAGACACGGAAGTGGGGGAGGAAGAAGGCATTGTGGTTTGCCATCTGAAGTCTGGGAATGAGATTCCCAGTTTTATCAAAAAGCTTCTGGCAGATTACACAGACTGACTGTTAAGTCTATTCCGACTCCCCTTTCATTTTCACGTTCAGCTATACCGCCAGGGCTCCGTGTGCACATCAGTGAGACGACACGTAACTTCAGCAAGGGTGTGGGACAACAGGATTTGAGTCATAGACCCTGTGGCATCTTTCGGTGAGGAAGGCATCTTCACAAGCTTGTCTCAAGCCATGACCACTCAGTGTATGTGAACTTCCCATCTCTACATGTCTTCCCTACCCTTCAACATCAGACGGTAACTAAAATGCCCACAAAACTTCCCAACGAGGAAGGCCCTGACTCCTAGCCCATGGGTGGTACACAAAAGCTACTAACTGAAACTTTCAACAGTCCATGTTAACATGTCATTCTAATGGTGTGTCAAAGATGATGACTCCATAAAGGTTTAGGGCAGTAGAGCGGCCAATGGAGCACCATGCCATGCTTTTTTTTTTTTTTTCTTTTTTCTTTTTGGTTTTTCAAGACAGGGTTTCTCTGTGCAGCTTTGGTGCTTGTCCTAGATCTCACTCTGTAGACCAGGCTGGCCTCCAACTCACAGATATCCACCTGGCTCTGTCTCCCGAGTGCTGGGATTAAAGGCGTGCGCCACTACACCCGGTGCCATGCTTTCTAAATGGATGAAGAACATCAAAACCTCAGAGAAGAACATGGGTCATGGGTCACAGTTACAGAGTGGATGGATGTCCCTAAGCACAGAATCAGGAGTCATAAAACATCAGATGAATAAATTTACCTATAGAAGAATAAAATTTGTGGCCAAAATGATTATAAACAAGGTCAAAAGATACATTATAGTCTTTTAACGTTAAAAACTTAGAAAAAAAAAACAATTTAGTGTGTGTGTGTGTGTGTGTGTGTGAACATATGGAGGTCACAGGACAACTGTGGGGAATGGTTATCTCTTTCTGCCACGTGGGCCCCAGGGAATCAGACTCAGATCATCAGCCTTGGCAACAAGCACCTTTACCCACTGAGCTCTCTTTCTTAGGCCCAAGCACCACTTCTCAAACATTTAAAAAAGATAATTCAAGATAAAACCCAGATGGGTAGGATGGAAGCAAGGTGTGTGGCCAATGAGAAACTGTTCATATTCACTGGTCAACAGATGCCAGCCAGCACAATCAATAACATTCTTGCTTTTGGATTAGCAAAGGTTAAAAGCCTTTGAGAAGCAATTTCAGAAAGGCAATAGGGTCATCTCACAGTCATCAGTTTTTGGAGGGCAATTTGGCTCCGATAAATAACAATGTAGAAGAGGCTGTTGGACCTAGTGTGTTCAGTTAGGACCCGACTGTAGAGGTCCACGTACGCACAGATACTCCTGTAACAAATGCTTGTTGACGTACACTAACGGCAGCCACGTGAATGCAGTCAGTGACAGGCAAAACAGTGAGGTAGGTGTATACATGCTGATATGCGGAAAGACGCTCAAGGCGCTGATGGCTAGCAACAGATCGCTTGCAGAACGGTAGGAGCAACACAGTCTCAGTGCACAAACATGTTGGTTTGGAAGCTTTCTGAGAGGGGCGGAACAAACACTAATGACAGTCATGGGTGATCGTGGGATCTGCTGGGAGGATTTTTTCTCTTATGCTAATTTTTCATCATTTAAAATTTAACCACTGGCTTGAATTATTGTTTAGTAAGAAGTTCAACGTCTAAAACTTTTGCACATGAGAAAAGAGCAGCATGTGAATGAGAGAAGCAGGTGAGGCCTGGAGCAGAGACGGGGACTCTGCACCAGCAGTTGCCCTGGGCACCCATGGCCTCAGATGGTCCTTCCTCTTTCCTGGAGAAAGCCATCAGGAGGCCAGGGGACCTGGTCTGGAGGCACAGCGCCTGCTGAGGTATGCAGTCCTTTGATGCAGCACCTAGTTTCAGTCACTCTCAGCACTACCCAGAACCCCCTCTGCTCCAGAAAGAACAGGGTCGGTCTACCTAAGTGACCAGGGGCCTTGGGGAATCAGTGCAGATTGTACCAGGGAGGCCAGGACTCAGAATTCAGGACTGAACTGAGCCCAGACGACCTCGCTCTCAGTCCTGCACGCTGAGCAGGCAGTGGAGGTGCCTGATGGTAGAACTGTTCTCCTTCATGTCATCATTTAAAGATGCAAATCGGGGCTGGGGGTGTAGCTCAGTGGTAGAGTGCTTGTTTGATAGGCACAAGGTAATCCCCAGTACTGGGAGGGGGGGAGGGGCGGGGAGGAGCACCAAACAGACACAAGTTACTTCAGCCAGGTGCTGCCTTTTTGGAAGCCAGTCTCAAGAGTCACATGGCCTGACCCACCATCTGTTGTAGATGCAGGGCAGAGGCTGTAGTTTATTGATCTCATGGTAAGATAAATTACACAAGGAACCTTCTTGTCCCTGTTTACTTTATGCTGGAATTGTGTACATGGTTGAGCCCAGTTTGTGGGAAAAGGGCCAGTGTCCTCAGCAGGGTTTGCATGGTCCACAGATGCTTTCATCTAGCTCCTAGTTTTACAGTTGGCCGTGAATTACCTTTCTGTATAGTGACACTGAATGGGAAGGGGCAATAGATGCTGCCACCCCTTTACTACAGACACTTGTGCAAGAAAAATGTATGAAAAGACCTCTGTAGAGGTTAAAGGAAGCCCTGTGATCGAGCCTGCTGGGTGCCCCTGGAAACACTGGCTCAGATGCTGCCCCATCAATCTTTCCCCCAGTGAAGCCCAACCCCTAGGCAGTCAATGGAGACTGAAAGTCTTGAGAAAAATAAAATGACTGACCTTTTTGGACCAGTTGCAAATGACACGTGGTACCAAAAAGCCTTCTTGGGCAATCCAAACTCATAAAACACACTCTATTCAGTGTAGGACAGCTGTACTTCTCGGAGGCTCCAGGAAATATGTCAAAGTGTACACACACAGATTGGAATCCCATAATTGGAATCAGATAATCCTTACAGACTAAAAGACCAATTCACAGACCGTTTAGAAACTGACTCCTTCCCTGAAGACATGGGGCTGTGCCTTGCTGTAAAGTTCCTTAGGGAAGTTGTTTGCTGCATGGTATGAGGATGGAGTGCTGCTGGCTGAGCAAGGGAGGCACGCAGAAGAGCAAATGGTAGGCCCAGTGGAGGCCTACGGACACAGGTACAACTCAGCTCTGGAATTCAGGTTCTAAAAGGGTAGTGAGGTGGCCTGGCAGAGGCAGAGTCGCAGAGCAGCTGGCCTGAGGGGACTGAGAGGTGGGCTGGCTCCTGTGAGTTTAAGGAGTCTAAGCCGAAGGTTCCTCTCAGCCCAGAGCTGCAGCCAAGTAGCCCCGGAACAGCAACATTGAGCAGGTTCAATGAGCCAGACTCTGCTGTGAAGGAGCAAGTCTGGGCAATGTGTGTTGCTCTCCAGATCAGAGGAGCTGGGCCAATGCAGTATGTTGGGGGTGGGGTGGGGCGGGGGGCTCAGGCCACCTCAGTTTACTGAGAGGTTCTTCTTGGGAGAAAGGAAATGGGGGTGGCAGGGAGAAAAGAGGTGAGCAGTGGGTGAACGATGCAGCTGTCTGCTTTCCCCCCTGTATGGCTGTCCCATTCACAGCTCAAACTAGCTTTGTTTCTTTCCTTTTTTTTTTTTTTTTTAAATAGATGTTTATACCACGTGATAAAACTCAACAGAAGCAAGAACCTTGAAAAACTTTTCCCCTGAGTAGGCCCGAAGGCCTGAAGGATGTTATGCATGTTTTAATAGAACTGGATGAAGATACATACGCTTGGTACGGGAATGACCTGCCTCTGGTCACCCTAAGGAAAAAGAAAAGAAAATCATCGTCAGGATGGAAGAGAAAGGGATCACATTCTCAGAAGAAACTTCTAAGCTCTCTTGAGCACAAACAGCAATGGCCTTCCCATCCCTCCACCCTGGCGGCAATCAGCAAGCCAAGGGACTTCCGGGAGGGAGCAGGCCCATGCTGTTTCCAGACTCCTCCCGGACTTGGAGGCAGGGCTTACAAGGCTCAGCCTCTCTATTTATTTAAACAGTGTGTGCCCTGCTCCCAGGAATCTGCCTCTAACTTAAAAAAAAACCCAAACACTCATATTTTGATCCCCACCCCTCTAATAACTGGCTTGTTTCTTGTTTTTAAGCAATTTCCCCCTAAAAGGACATCAGTCTAACACGCAGGGAAAGGGAGGCAGGTTTATCAGATTACAAGGAATGCCTGACCACTCCAGGGCCTCCGTAGGCTAGAGGAGAGAATGGGAAAGAGGACAGGGCAAGGTACAAGAAGTTCCCTCCCAGGCTACCCACGGAGCTATCCCCTTTAAGGGAAACAACATTGTGTTCACCGAGGGTGTTAAGAATATTCATGCCCCAAGGAAGGGCCCCAACTAGCCTCAGCCCAGAATACCAGCCATTGCAAACCCAAGAAAAAAAAGTTTTATTTATTTTTTGTGTTTTTTTCTTTTTCATATGCTGGGATAGGGAGATAAACTGCTTCATGTCTCCAATTAGAGGATTTGTGAAAAGATGTATCCATGGTTACCAAGGTGGTCATGGTCTCTGGTGAAGGCCAAACCTGATGGTAAAGGCAGGCGGCTGGCGCCTCCTGGTAGCTCTGCTGAGACCCGCACGGTGACTTCCTGATCCTCTTTGGCCCCTAGACATCACCTCTGTGGGGTAATGCAATTCCTCTTTTCTCTGAAATGACCCTGATGGCTCCTTCCTTTGCCAGGAGGTCTCCAAAAGGGACCCCTCTCTACCATTCTAAGCGGCCTCTATCACTGGGGAGTCGCGTGACTCTCTCTCACAACAGCACATGCTAATCAAATCCCGATGTCCATCAACTCCTGCAGGGAACTTCATTCCAGAAATGTCTAAACAATACCATTCCCAGTGTCTGGACTCAGGAGCAGACGGCTGCTATCAGGGGAGATTTTAACCGGAAGCTCGTAAGTGCTGGCCCCTTTAGAGACGTGATACTGAGTCAGATGACGGTGAGGATGCCCTCTAACTGCCCACACAACAGCATCTCTGGCCTGCCTCACCAGGGTGCCTCCCAGAGCAGGGACAAGTCTCTAAGTACTACAAGTGCTCCTGGAGGTAAAGCCATGTAGGAAGCCCTGCTCCAGCCAGAGACCACAGAGCCCTACTCAGTCAGCTTCAGAAACACCTGTCACGAGCTGAACATGCATGTGGAGAGGCCACGGGAGCACAGCCCAGGGCTGACAGAACAGGGACAATGGACACACAGAAGTGTTGAGCCACAGGTATGTGAGAATGAGGACTGCACGTGTGTGTACACGTGTGTGTGTGTGTGTGTGTGTGTGTGTGTGTGTGTGTGTGTGTGTGTGCATGAACATGTGTGTACTATGAGGGGTGTGTATGTGTGTGTGTAGGGACTGTAGGTGTATGTATAGGATATGTGAATTTGTGTGTATAGGGTGTGTGTATATAGGGAGTGTATGTATGGGGTATGTATGTATGTGTGCATTTGTGTTTCTGGCAATCCCTTTTAGGCTCTCCTTACTCCTCGGGTCCTCCAGGGTCAATGCTATTGGAGTCTTCTGGACACTGACTCCTCTCAGTCTCTAGATGCTGCTGGCCTTCAGGTCCAGGGTGTAGTGAGATGGCCCCAGTGACTGTCAGCTTAAAGCATTGCTGCAGAATGGTTGAAAAAGATTCCAAATCTTCCTCTTTCCAGGGCAGATGGTGTCTCAGCAGTTGCTTGTTCCATTCTGTCCATGGCTTTCTTTCCATCTTCTCCACCACGCTGAGCTGGGAGAGGCAGGGAGCCCTGCAGACTTCAGTGGAGTCAGGTCTGGGATCTACTTCCACATCTGGGCTTGGCCTGGGTTCTGTGGGTGCTGGTGGAATTCAGTGTAAGAGGCAGAGCGTCCCCTGGGAGTCAGCTTCCCCCATCCACAGGGTTCCACAGACCATGCAGTTGTTATACAGACAACACCCCACTTTAGACTGAACTAAGTTTAAAAGATTTATTTTTATGTTATGCGTATGAGTGTTTTGCTTGCACGTATGTCTATATACCATATGCATGCCTGGTGCCCATGGAGTCCAGAAAGGGGTGTCAGATCTCATGACTGGAGTTACAGAGGGTTGTGAACTGCCACATGGGTGCTGGGAACCCAACTCTAGCCCTTTGGAACAGCAGCCAAACCTGTGAGCTTTCTCTCCATCCCTCCATCCCCAAAATAAAAACCACCTGAATTATTTAAAAAGACATTTTGGCAAATGTGAATAGAGGCAGCCTATGAATGAAGAGGAATTCTAAGTGAGACTACCATTCCCAAAGGAGTGCCTTTAAAAGGTATTTATCTCAACGGACAACTGAGAACCCTGGTCCCTTTCCCTTAGGGAATTTCTTCACAGTGACAGTGTCTTAAATCTCTTATTTTAAAAATCTTCTTCTTCCACCGATTTATTATTTATTTTGTGTGTGCTTGTGGGTGAGGGCCAGCCCGCACATGTGGAGGGTGGAAGACAACAACTTGTGTGAGCTGGTTCTCTCCCCTCACCATGTGGGTCCCGGGGATGGAACTCAGGGTGTCAGGCTTGGTAGCAAAAGCCTTTTCCTGCTGAGCACCTCACGGCAATAGTTCCTCAGCAGGGAGGGAGAGGAGGGCATGGGGAGAGCTGCCAGGATACGAACCACAGTGGACTCTCACTGATCATGCTACTGAGAGTTATACACACACTATGGAGTAGCAGCTGCTAGGACAAGCTGTCTTTCAGTGTGTGCTTCCTTAAGCTTTCTTCAATATTCTCTGATGATTTTTCTTTCCACAATAATCTAAGCCCATCCAGAAGCACAGAAGAGCTAGCCTAGCTTTCAGCCATTCGAATCGGTTTTTATCTCTCTCGGGCATCTATATAAACAGTGACGTCATCTACAAGCAAGGCTAATTTTATAACTTTTCCATATTTATACCAACTGTTTCATTTTCCTGTTTTATCCCAGCAGCCAGAACCTACCAATGATTCGACTGTGTTGTTTGCTGCTCATTTTCAGAAGACAGAATAGCTTTTTATCATGATGTTATCATAGCTTTCTTCTTGTACTTGGCCATATTTTTGGTCATATGGAAGGATGGCTGGGCTATTAAATACCCCATTTATTAGATCTTTTATCACTGTAAATGTCTTTACTGTGTCTAATGCTTTTAAAATTTATTTTTTAATTTTTTTTATTTGTGTGCATGCATGTGATGTGTATGGGTGCCTGTGGAGGCCAAACAAGTGCATCAGATCCCCTAGAGGGGCACTGAATGATGGTTGTGAGCAGCCTCACAAGGATGCTAGGAACAGAACCCAGGTCCTCTGCAAGAGCAGCAAGTGCTCTTACCCACTGAGGCATCTCTGCAGCCCCTAACATATTTGACTCAATTCTGCTTGATTTGATACTAACATTGCCTTAACCGTAAGACTCCTTTCTTTGGGTTTGGTCTATCCTTCTACACTGCACCCATCTCTTTACTTCCTGCTTTCTTTTATCATGCTGTGTTTGAAGTTATTATGGAAACAATTCACTCCTCATTGTGACAGGCATTAGCCAGGCAACACCCAGTCATCCCAGCCTCTCTTCTGGGTACATGGGAAGGTGCTGTGGGAAGGTCTGTATGTCAAGTGTGTTACTGATTGGTCAATAAATAAATCACTGATTGGCCAGTGGCTAGGCAGGAAGTATAGGTGGGACAAGGAGGAGAATAAAGCTGGGAAGTGGAAGGCTGAGGGAGACACTGCCAGGCGCCATGATGACAAACAGCATGTGAAGATGCCAGTAAGCCACGAGCCACGTGGCAAGGTATAGATTAATGCAAATGGATTAATTTAAGCTGTAAGAACAGTTAGCAAGAAGCCTGCCATGGCCATACAGTTTGTAAGCAATATAAGTCTCTGTGTTTACTTGGTTGGGTCTGAGTGGCTGTGGGACTGGCAGGTGAGAGAGATTTGTCCTGACTGTGGGCCAGGCAGGAAAACTCTAGCTACAGGAAGGTACTTGCGCTTTAGTGCCTTTGAAGTGAGGTATAGCCATGCATCTTGCTGTGGCCACTAAAGTCAAAATGCATTTGCTCCTGGGTCAAAACCTGCAGCTACTGTGAGAGTCAAGGAAGCCAAAACCCTGGGCCATCATCACTGTACGTCCATGAATGAGATGAGTTGAGCTGCAACACACAGTAGCTCACAGGTGGCCACTGAGTCCGTGAGATGTGGCTAGCCCACACTAAAATGTGAGCTAATATAAAACATATGTATTAGCTCTTGAACTGGTAAGAAACTATCCAGCAATATTCTATTGGTCCTATGTTCGAACCTTGGGTATACTGGGTTAAGTAAAATATTATTAAAATTAATTTCATTTGTTTTAAATTATTTTTTGAAACGTGACTAGAATGATTTAAATTAGATTTGTGACTCAGTATATTTTCACAGAAGACTCAGCCAATCTATGACAAATAAAGGATGGAGGAAAAATAAAACTTTTAAATAACTCTCCAAACTAATTTTAAAATTAAGTTTAAAATTAAAAAAAGATTTATTTATTTTTTATGTGTGAGTTATTTTGTTTGCATGTATGTATGTGTGCCACATGTGTGCAGTGTCTGTAGAGGGCACTGGACTCCTTAAACTAGATGGAGTTACAGATGGTTGAGAGCCAACCCATGGGTGCTCGGAACTGAACCTGTAGCCCCCTTAAATTAACTCTTATTTATTGTGTGTGTGTGTGTGTGTGTGTGCATGCTTGGGGGTGAACAGATGCCACTGCTTGTAAGTGTATGTAGATCAGAAGACAACCAGCAGGGACCACTTCTCTCTTTCTGCCATAGTCTTGGGGACAGAATCTAAGTTATCAAACCTAACAGCAAGCATCTTTATCCAATGAGGCATCTTGCTGGCCCGACTTGTACTTTTTTCTTTTCTTTTCTTCGACACAGGGTTTCTCTGTGTAGTTTTCTGGTGCCTGTCCTGGATCTCGCTCTGTAGACCAGGCTGGCCTCGAACTCACAGAGATCCGCCTGGCTCTGCCTCCCGAGTGCTGGGACTAAAGGCGTGCGCCACCACTGCCCCGCCCGGCTTGAACTGTTTGAAGCCTCGTAGGTTTTAAGGTTATTACTGATACTCACTGACTACTCAGTCTCATCTGGCGAGCTTCTTTGTATGTCATCCTTGCAGTGACTGGGTAGACCTGTGACAAAGTTCTGGGTTTTCTTTTCATTTCTTTATTTTATGTGCATTGGTGTTCTGCCTGCATGAATGTCCATGTGAAGGTGCCAGATCCTGAGTGGAGTTACAGATACTTATCAGCTACTATGTGGGTGCAGGGAATTGAACCCGGGTCCCCTGGAAGAGCAGCCAGTGCTCTTAACTACTGAGCCATCTCTCCAGCCCTGTGTTTTCTATAAAAGCAATGATATAAAAGAGATGGGCATGCCTGTGCCACCCATCACCCTCTTCCTCCCATGAATGTAAATCTTGGGAAGCACAGAGACCAGGGACAGTCAAGCAGAAAGATGTCCAAATGGAGGAGCGCACACACAGTCTGGGTTTCTTATGTCACCACCGGGATCTAAACCAACTCAGCACCAAGACTGGCTCAGTCTTTGCATGTGAGAAAACTAATCAGTTTAAGCTATTGGCTGTCAGTTTTCTTTTATTTGTTGCCTAAATCATCTCTATTTGATGGCAGGCATGTTGTTGGTAATGGTGTACAGCTGAATTTACCAAACCATGTGACATGGTCTTGGTCATCTGTGAAGCAGAATGTGGTGTACTCAGCGTGGTTTTGTGCTCTCTCTGTAAGCTGTGCTCCTGTTTATCCTCAGCAGTCATGAGACATCAGGACCTTAATGCAGACATCCATGCTTACAGGTGGCTCCCAGTCCAGGGCTAGCTTTCTGACACACACAATTTCCCTTTGTTATCTGTGTTCCTCTCAGTAACCTGCACACGCGTGTCACAGTCTTCTCTCTTTTATTGTTGCTGATGGGAAGCCGGAGACTAATAGAGCTGCTTTCTCTGGAATAATGTATTCTGATGGCTTGTGTCACTTTAGCCGGGCAGAGGCAGAGGCAGGAGGATCTCTGTGAGTTCGAGGCCAGCCTGGTCTACAGAGTGAGTTCCAGGACAGCCAGGACTACACAGAGAAACCCTGTCTTGAAAAAAACAAAAAACAAACAAACAAAAAGATGTATTCCTTTAACTCAGAGAGTTTCATCAGCATGTACCTGGGCATGTGTTCTGCTGCATCCCAGTTCTTTGGGAGAACCAGTGAACTTTGCAATGGCAGGCACAATCTGTCTTTTTCAGCTCAAGAGAAAAAAAATCTGCCTCTCTTCTCTCTCTAGAACTCCTCCTGCTTGTGGATCGTCTAGATGGCTCCTTCCCTCCTTCATGATTTCCGTCTTTGTGTTTCTGGTCTGAATTCTATGCTATTTCTTCCATTTGCTTTTCCAGAATTCACACTCAGTTCTCAGAAACGGCTGCTTTCTCCTTGTTCTCCCTTGTTTCTGAGGTTTTCCGTTTAGTGCTGTGAGATTCTGGAGCCCCACAAGTCTCTCTGTCCCAAATGGCTGTCCTGAGTTGTCTGTGGAGGCTGGCTTCCACTGTTTTCCCCAGGAGTCTCTCAGGTGCTAGTTTTTCAACATGGACCTCTCAGCTGAGGCTACATTTTTCTTTGCATGTGCACGGCTGTGTTGTGTGTTCTGACCATGGCTGGCTATTCAGTCCATTAAGATCTCTAGAAGATGTGGGAGCTTTGAAAGTTCAGAGGAGTCCTGTTTCCATGGACCAGCAGAGGTGAAGGAAGCCCCACACTACCAGATACCAGGGCAAGGGAATAAAACCACTCAGTTCATCAACAGAGCTCCTCTAGAGTGCCCACGCTACCGTGGGCACTTGAAATCCTTCCCCCGGGAGTAAGGCCATGGGCCTCTGCTGGTGGTAACATTTCAGGTCTGCCTTAGGCCTCTATAGGAGACAAGCACTTGCCTTTTCTCTTCCCAGTCTTGCTGTTCCTGGGGTGTGTGGCAGGCTGGCCGGCCCGCTGCTATTCCTGGGGTGTGTGGCAGGCTGGCCGGCCCACAGGCTTCTGCTGACTCCCTGAATACACTGCACTAACATTTTCCTGTGGGTTCTGGAGAACTGAACCCAGGCTGTGAGACTTGGGCACCAGCGCTGGACTCACTGAGCCATCTTTATGTCGACAATCATGACACGCCATTCCTCAGGATAAGTCATTTTTAACAAGACAGCAACTGACTGTATGACTATTATGTAGCTTATTTAACCAATTACCTCTTTTTTACAAACCCTTTTTAAATCCCTTCTTGGAATCATTATGTGTCTGAAAATGTACCTCTATTGCCTCAAGGAAGGCTAGTTTTGTGTGTGTGCATGTATGTGTCTGCGTATGTATGTGTCTACGTGTGGGTGTGCACGTGTGTGTGTGTGTGTGTGTGTGTGTGTGTGTGTGTAGCTCAGAGGTCAGCATCAGGTACCTTCCTAGGCCATTGTAAGCTATACTGGATAGCATCTTGTAGATCAATCTTTGTATATTCATAACAACATTTTTTTTTTTTTTTTGCTGTGAAATAAAATTGCTTTTGTCAACAGGCATACTCTAAGACTCTAATTCCACATTGCCAAATGTCCTCTCGGAAACGAAAACCAATTAGCAGGCTCTCCACACCACTTAAGGCTATGCTGCACCCTCCACTCCCACACCAAACCCACCTTTAAAAACCTCACAGACAGGAAAAGGCCTGTTCTAGTTTATACCATTTGCCCATTATCAATTTTTTTTTATATTTTGAGCCATATATCAAAACAATCAGATGTTTTGATCTATCCTACATTTGACCAGTGTATTCTTTTCCTATTTAAATATTTAGTGTGTGTGCGTACATACCCATGGAAGCCAAGAGAGGGTATTATGTCCTCTGGACTAGAGTCACAGGCTGTTGGGAGCTGCCTGAGGTGGGTGTGGGAACCAAGCTCCAGTCCCTGGAAGGGCAGCAGGAGCTCTCAACTGCCAAGGTAGCGCGCCGCCTCTCCTGCCTACAGCCTGTTTCTTGTTCTATGAGACGTCTGTTTGTAACATAAAGTTTTATGACTTTGGTGTCTGTGATCTAACCACGATCCTGATGATAACCCCCTTTGCACTTTCAGTGTCGTTGTCTTAACGTGGAATCCAATTTTGACAGAAACTAATATAACCTGGTTTCTTTGCTTGTTCCTGGATAGCGTCTCTTTGTTTATCCTTATATTCTTAACCGTCCTGAGTCATTTCATTTCAGATGTGTCTGTCAGACAGCCCGTGGGTGGTTTGGGGTTCTGACCTATTATGACAATCTAACACACACACCCCAGCAAACACTCTATGTGACTTTGCTATTGTTAAACACGTTATTATACAAGGTATTAAACTCAATTACACTCACTGCAAGGTCTGCTCCATCTCTATCTTATTTTACCTGTTTTTGTATCTGCTACTGGTTACTTTTTAAAAATTATATTTATCTATTCTGAGTGTGTGTGTGTGTGTGTGTGTGTGTGTGTGTGTGTGTGTACACATCTGACCATGTCATAGTGTGTGTGAAGGGGTCAGGAAATACATCCTGGGGGGTCAGTTCTCTCCTTCTACCATGTGGGTTTCGGGGCTTGAACTCAGGTCATCAGGCTTGGCAGCAAGCCCCTTTACCAGCTGAGCCATCTTGCTGGCTTTAAATTTCCATCATATATGTTCTTCAGTTGCTAGATGGGAGGACCAGAAATCCTTTCTCTAAAACAACTGAACCCAAGTCTTAATGGCTGCATGCACATTTCACACACTCTTGTGCGGGAATCTGTCATGGGCGGGACATACACGCAGCCTCAGCGTTACAGATTGCAGTTTTCCGTCTGCACTGACCTTCTGAAGCCCACCATTCTCCTCCACCAGTGGCGGAAGCACACTGGGGCTGCTGGGTGGAGGGGCCTCCACATTGTAGTCTCGGAAGCAGCAGAAGAAGGAGCTGAGGATGCTACGGCCCCTCTGTTTCTTCAAGCTGACGCTGCGCTGGGAAGCTGAAAGAGAAACAGTCACGTGAATGACTGAGGCGTGTGAGTGTGAGTGTAAACTGAGGTGTGTGGGTGTGAGTACTGGACTGGACTCCAGGGGCCCTGCAGCCCAATCCCTTTGACTTCAGTTCAGTGGGGCTGCTTGCCCCTTAACTGCATAGTCCTCAGGGTCGCTGTCGCCTGTGTTCTCCAGTCTGAGGAGGTGAAGCATTCCTACCCTGCAATAAGCACTACTGAAAATCAGTGATTTTTCATGAATAAACCAGACCTAACCCTGTCTCAGAAGCATTTTCCCACTGGACAGCAAGCAAGAGCCACCTAGAAACTTGGTTCTTGGATACTTCCTGTGCATTATGGAGATGGTCAGCTTTAGGGGTTAAAGATTACAAAGTCAGGTGCTTGTCAAAAGTTGATGGGGTAACCTGGGCCCCCCAAGAACAAAGCCAAGGTGTCCATTGCAGAAACAGCAGGAGCTGTGACGTGCAGAGTGCGGGCTTTGAAGGATCAGGGAAAGTTCTCAAGATCCACTCCTGTGCCCTGGCCTGTCCTGGACAGAGGCACCCAAGGGAGGGATGGATCTTTCTATTTATCCAGGGCTCAGGACAAGCTGCCACAAGTCAGAACTAAAAGGTGAAATCTGGCACAGATGGAAAACACACCTCAGGGCAGACTGACAACTTGGATGGGCAGGTGCTTTTGCCTGGGAATGTGGCTGGGGCAGTCCTACCACATGTCATGGCTGGGTGGGTCTGCAGTGCTCTGAGCTGTAGCCACAGGGAAGGGACCATGCTGAGTGAGGGTTAGTGATGTGGAGCAATCGTGAGAACGTGCCTCTCCTCATGAGCCACCTGGCACTACTCTTCACTGTGTGAGCTTAGTGATTCGTTCAGCGCCTTTCCCCGCCAAGTGACCACAACCTCAGGAATAGTTTCCTGGTGACAGCAAAACCAAATGCATCCAGGAGATTCTGGGAAGGTGATTTCCAAGCAACTGTCTAGATGTGGGTGGTCTGCAGCCCTCATGCATGACCCTTAGGGGTTGGCGAGATGGCTCAGTAGTTAAAAACATTCATTACACAATAATGAGGACCAGAGTTGGGATCCTAACACCGAAGGAACAAGCCAGGTGTTCTGCACATCTGTAGTCCCAGTTCTGAAGGGGAGAGGATAGATGGGGTTCACTGTCTTCCAGTCTCACTGAGAAAACTCAAGCCCCAGATTCAGAGAGAGACCATGCCTCAAAGGAGCAAGCACAGACTGATGGAGGAAACCTGATGCCCTCTTCTGAGCGCGCGCGCACATACACACACACACACACACACACACACACACACACACACACACGAAAAAGATGAATTTTAGAATGATAAATCCTGGGGGAGCTGGATGTTTCTGTCTTCTTCACGAACCCTTGAGTGTATGTACAGAGCACCAGTGGTTGCATTTCAGGATTCAAATGCTGGGTCAGAGCACTGGGCCAACAGGAGGTGGCTGCATCTGTGACTGGCGGGAAAAGACTCAAGGCTGACCTTCTCTAGACCATGCCGTCACAGACCTCACCTCCCGGACTCCACACAGCTCCCAGAGGATAGGGGGGTCACTGCTTCCTTCTTTGCTGAGAGGGAACAGCTAGTACTTGTTGGTGCCAGGAGGAGAACCCAAGTGGGCCTGTTTCCAAATGTGTGATTTCCCAAGTGCCCCCCTGAAGGCGAATCTTGAACCAACTCAGGTTTGATTAAGGAGCAGGGCACCAAGCAGAGAGGAAGGGACTGTAATAAACTTGTATTTAATACAAATGATTGGTCTGACTATCTTACTTTGGGAGTTAAAATTTTTATGTTACATTCAAATAACTTAACCATGGGCAGAAGAGAAAAACCCAACCCAACAGCATGCTGGTCTCCAGGCTGACGGCACATTTCTTTGCAAGTCTACAATTTGCTCAGAGTCTCAGAGGTGGTGAGCAGCCTGAGAGGAAGCACCTTCCAAGGTCTGTTTTCATCTTTAGCGCATACAATTCTTCCTCCCCACTAATTAACAGACAACTACTTATAAAATTAATCAATCAATAAACCTGAAACTTGGAACCAGTAAGCCACTTATGTTTCTACCGTTGGATCACTCACTGTCTAGAGAGTCAGTGGAAGTTAGTTTGAGCAGCATGGAGGCTGTGGAAGTGGACAGGTTTCCTCGCCTGACTCCTTGGAGTAGGGAGAAGTGGCTTTGGTGGGTTCCCCCTGTGTCAAGTAAGGGAAGCTCTGGGCCCTGCTAATTTCTCAGGCTGGTGGGTCACTCTCAACATCAGGCTAGGTAGGAAATAGACACATTTCCTTAGAACCAGTGTATGACAGAGTGGCTGGAGCCTTTGGTCCAGACCTCTCTCCCACATTGCTGTTGTTTATCCAACCCATGGGATGGGCATCTCGTAATGTCTCGTAGGTCCTTCCCTGTGACATGGCTAAGTGGGGCTTACGGTTTTTGCGGCCACAGGCTAACCACTAGCCCTTGGTCTTTCACTAGGCTGTTCTGAATCCTTAGCAGCTCTCACATCTGTCTTCGGTGGCTCCTCTCCTCGCCAGGCAGAGGCCCTGGACCTACGGCATCGTCCGGACTTGATCTGCTGCAGATCTTTACCCCACAGGACCCACAAGGCAGCTAAGCCTACCGAGTGATGAGAGAGAGCATGGGTTCTGCAGCCAGCTTGCACAGGCATCCATGACGGCCCAACCAGAACCAGTGCGGGGCCTGGGGAAGTCACATTACTTCTCTGAGCCTTGGTTTCCATGTCAATAAAACAAGGACATTAGAAATAGCCATATCTTGCAAGCTTGTTGTGAGAATTAAAGGTTTTATTGTAAGTATTTAGAACAGAATCTAATAAAGGTGGGCATTAAAACAGTGCTAGCTCTCGGGACATTTTTTAGAAAATGTCTTTTAGGGGCTGGGGCAGTGGCTCAGTGGTCAACCGTGGGCAATACCCTTATAAAGAACTCAAGTTTGGTTCCTAGTGCCCATGTTGGCGGCTCATAACCACCTGCAGCGCCAGCTCCAGGGGATCCAATGCCTTCTTCTGACCTCTCTGAGCATTACAAATACACATATATACATAATTAAAAATAAAACAAATCTTTAAAATAATTTCTTTTAGGAGTTTATTCAGCAGTACATTTACTTCCTTTTTCTTTTACATTTTTCTTGCTTATCTCATTATTAAAAATGTTTTTTTTTAAAGATTTATTTATTTATTATGTATACAGCATGTATCCCTGCAGGCCAGAAGAGGGCACCAGATCTCATTACAGATGGTTGTGAGCCACCATGTGGGTGCTGGGAATTGAACTCAGGACCTCTGGAAGAGCAGACAGTGCTCTTAATCTCTGAGCCATCTCTCCAGCCCCTAAAAATGTTATTTATTTATTTAGTCTGTGTGTGTGTGTGTGTGTGTGTACCCATGTGCACACTAAGTGTGGAGGTCGGGGGACAACTTGTGGGCGTCAGTTCTTTCTTTTTACCATGTGGGTCCTGGGGCTTGAACTCAGGTCACCAGGATTTGCAGCAAGCCCCTTTTCTTGCTAAGCCATCTCATTAGCCCTTACCAACTTTTGCTTGGTAGAACAAAAATGATTCTGCTGGTAAGTTCTGGATTAAGGCTGGATGCTGTAAAAGAATTTTTTTTTTCTTTCTACTAGCATCTGCCAACGGAGAGATGCATTTATTATAACAGGTTTCAGTTATATAAACTGTACTTTAAAAGCAAAACTAGACAAATCTCAGGAAATGATTCTATTCAATTGCTCTTAAAAATTGGATGCAGAGATGGGCAAGGCAAAGGGAGGGGCTGAGTGTCCAGTGTGCTTTGCTGGTTGTTTTCTGAGAGAAAGAACAAGGTTCTCAGGAGAAGGGGCAGCGTCCATACTCCCTCTCACCTATTCACAGCTCATTACCCTCTGGGCTATGCTTAGGCTCTCTGCTGAGCCCTGTTCCCGCCCAGCCTGCAGCTGGCCCTGGGACTCCTAGCCATAAGCTGCTCACTGACCAGAAAGGAGCACCGAGGCCAGCAGATCCAGTGCATTTTCCCACCCAGGTTCCCTGCCGGGCCATGACTGTATTTCCCCAGGGCTCAGGGCAGCACAGGCCGCGAAGAACCTCCCTCTATCTCTTCCTTTGCTGTGATGATGAGGCCATGCCCAAGGCCGAGCCCGGCAGCTGCCATTTTCTCCACCTGATGGCTAGGCGATGGGTATCTCCTCCGAAGGTGAATAAAGGGAGACTCTTGGCAGGTGCAGACAAGTGAGTCTATGACTCATCTTTTTTATTTCCCAGAAGACACAAGAGTAGAACTCATGGGGGTGGGGGTGCTAGAGGTGGGCCTGGGTCTCATGGTCTGGGTCTCCCGGAGGGGCGTGACACAGAGGGAAACAGATGGAAGGCTGTTTTTCTGGGCATGCATGCCCTACTGCTTCTTTCTAGACATCACCTCAACAGGTAAGACCCGCTTCCTGCTCATGGATGTGGCCCTCTCTCTCCTGCCAGGGCCAGGGGCTTTGTGAAGCATCTCTAGATAAGGCTTGGTGTGGACACCGTAGCAATTGCCTTTTTCTCAGAGAAAATGAGTCCCTGATCCTACAGGATGGAAAGCTTCCAGAACATCTCCTGGTCTCTCTGGGTAGAAGCAGGAAGTGACATCATAACGTCATTAAAGGGGAACATGGCTTACATCTGGCAGTTTCACCTGCCAGAACCCCACTAAGCTTTCTCATAATGTTATTCCCTTTCCTTCCTGTGTTCCATCTCACCAGCTTTCAGTCCACACAACTGAACCACGCAACTGAACAAACCAGAAGGGTCTTGCTTGGGATCCCTGCCAAGCTGTCAGAGAAGGTGTCCTCTTTTTCGCTGCGTTTCCTAAGAAGCCTGGAGGTGGTGGCCACCCTTGTCACTGGTGCATGAAGCCAACTTTGAAAAAGCTCCTGAGAGACAGAGTGTTATAAAGAGTAGACCCCTGTG